ACCATCATTTTGTCAAAAAATTTTATTCATATAAATACTATCAATCAATCTTCGTTTTGTGTCCAGAGACCCGGTTTCCCGAGGTAGGACGTTGTTTTCTTTGCCATCAACTTTTTGCGCCAAATTAGACGATCAGTTGTACCCATTTCATTTAAATTTAGAGCTTTCATGTCTTGCTCGATTGTTTGCGACCAGGACTTCTTTGGACGGCCTTTGGGACGTGTGCCAGGTACTTCAACATCTGCAAGAGAAGTTATGGCACTGTTTCCACTTCGTTTGACATGACCAAACCACCGCAGACGGTGTTGCCGGCATTCGTCCTTTATATCATACAGCACGACACAGGATTTCGGTAGATTTGATGTGGTCCTTCAGACTAATTCGTTGCATCTATCGGAGCATTTTCATGTCGGTTCGTTGAAGTTGTTGTTCCAGTTTAGTTGTCATTGGCCATGTTTCTGCACCATATAACAACATCGGACGTATCACAGATTTATAAAGTCTTGATCGTAGTGGTAGTGGGATGTCACGCCGCATCAATATAGAGGCAAGGAGATGCCATTTATTCCAGGCTGCACGTATGTGTGCTCGAACGGCAGCTTCAGCTGTTCCAGTACAATCCAGAACATCTCCTAGATATTGAAACGATGTGACTTTCTCTATTTTAATGGCTTCAAAAACAGTGCTATTTCGAATTTGTTGTTGTGGATTGATGCAAGCAGGACAAACAAAATTGGACACTTTAGATAAAGTACCAATTATTTTTGAACAACGTTTGTGACACCACTGGTTACACTGCTGACACTTGATTGAATTGTTACCTACACCAGCTTTACAAACTGAACAGGGCCATCGTCCAGTAGCTGTGGATTGAATGGGTTCACCAGTGTTCATTGCTTTGGTTTTGCTGATGTTGACTTTGAATCCATGATCGGTGAGTCTGGTGTTCAATCTTCAACATCTGTGCTGCATTCAACTCAGACGTGGCTGTTAAAATGATATCATCAGCATATACTAGATTCCAGATGTCACCAGTGCGTATCGGTTTTGTGATTTTTGTGGTTTATAAATAACAGTGGACAAAGAATCGAGCCTTGGTGAACTCCAACGCCGATGTCAAATGCATCTGTGTTTCCAGTCTTAGTATTGGTATACATTTCCATCACAAGTCGAACAAGATATTCTGGAATGTGTTGTCGACGTAGACTCCACCTGATTGCTTCACGGGGAACACGATCAAATGCTTTTTCAAGGTCTACAAAAATGTGTGGTAGTTGTTGATGCTTTGCGATGTACTTCTCTTGCAGTTGCCGAAGGATGTGAATTGCATCAATTGTTGATTTCCCCGCTAGAAAACCAAATTGATAATTTCCGATTGTGATAAACGACGTTAATCTTCTCTCAATGATTTTTTCGACAATTTTCAGGGAGTGTTCTAACAGACGTATACCCCGATATGAACAGTTCAATGGATCACCTTTGCCTTTGTATAGCGGGACTGTCATGCTATAGTTCCATTCAGTCGGCATTGAGCAATTTCTCCAGATTTCACGGCAAAGTTGTAGTAACGTTTGGATACCTGCAGTACCAGATGCTTTGATAATGTCATTTTTGTGTCCATAGGGCTCTGCTGCCTTTCCATCCTTCATAGCTTTCAGAGCTTCTGTAAGCTCCTCTACAGTGATGTCTGGAATCGGGCCTTCGATGGGTGGAGCGTCAAAGTTAACCATGATGGTATTTGTTTCGTTTAACAGACGATTGAAGTATTCTCTCCACTGTAGCTTGATCTCATCTTGTTCAAGAACGATCTCATTTTTGTCGTTTTTGATACATGAGGCACCAACTATGTCTTTTTTCGTACGCTTTGCTTGTTTTGCTATACGATACAGAGATTTCATTTGTTCACCTTTGCTTTTAGTGAGCCACTCTCTGCACTGATTTGTCCGTGCCAGTGCAACTTACGTCTTGCATAGTTGTTCTTTTCACGGAAAATTTTATGATCATCTACAGACTTTGATTTTTGCCATTGCTTGTATGCAACTTTCTTTTCAGCTATTGCATTTTGTACACTGTCATTCCATTACCAAGTGTCTCGTTCATGCTGACGTTTTGTACCAGTTTTCCCACAAACTGTAGTTGCAGCGGTTTTGTATGTACTCCAATTTGTACTGGCTTGCGATTGGTGGCCTAACTGTGTAACAACAATCTGTTGAAATTTTTCTCGATGAATATTGCTTTTCAGCTTCCACGTTTTGATTCTCCGAGGCATTTGTTTAGACTTATGTTTTGTCAGTTCGACAACCAGGTCTGCCACAAGGAGTCTATGTTGGGCGACACAGGATTCGCCGAATATAATTTTGACATTTTTGAATAGCCTTCGGTGTGGTTGCTTGACAGCGAACAAATCAATTTGCGTGGCTGATGGTCCACTTTTGTATGTTATGAGATGTTCCAACCTCTTTCTAAAATATGTGTTCAGTAAACAAAACTCGTGACTTTCAGCAAACTCAAGGATGCGGTTGCCATCTTCATTCCGTTTTCCATAGCCATGTACGTTGTCAAAATCATCTGTTTTCTCTCCAACGTGGCCATTGAGATCGCCTCCAATCAGGATTGTTTCAGATTTTGGTATTGTTGAGATGGTGTCAGAGAATGCAGTCCAGAAGTCATTTTTCATCTCTTCTGATTCGTCTGTCTGTGGTGTGTATGCAGAAAAAATAATCATTGTTTGCTTTTCTATGCGAAGCTTGATCCACATGAGACGTGAATTAATCCTTTTAATATCCTGTACTTTTTGAGCTAGCGGTTCTCTGACAAAAATTCCAACACCATTTTTGGCCGTCTTTTGACCATTCCAGAATAGTTTATATTTTTCTTTGTCTGAGTTGACATGACAGACACCATTCGATTTCTCTCGGGTTTCCTGAAGGCAGCAGATTTCAATCCTTCTACGCTCGAGCATTTCTGCGATTTCCATGCTGCGTGATCTAACATTGAGCGTTCCAAGTCTAAGTACCATAGGGGCCATTTTGAATTTTTCTGCAACATCCCTCCGCTATTGCATACTTCCCAGGGATTCTTGGCATCCCTTGACCACTTAAGGCCTGCTGGGGACTAGGGGCCGTTGTTTTTCTTTGTGATGGCATAGGAATAATTTGGGGAAACTTTTTTACATCCGGACACCCATCCTGACGACAACCACCAGTTATAAGCGGTGGGCCTAGCCTTTCACTCAAAAGCACGCAAGGCAGCGTGGATGCAGTTTTACGTCAATTATATTATACGACTGTTAATTATAATATTAATAATAATAATATGTTTACAACGTAGCAAACAAAACAACAGACATACAAATTATACACGTATGATATGACAACTGTTATACAATACACAGACATATTTGTCATTCCAAGTCAAATATAAATTTATATTTATATAAATACTAATTTATATTACCTCCTGTTAAATGCTATTTGAAACACAATCGATTAATTGATATTAATATTGCAGTATATTCATGACGCTTTTAAAAAGTTAAATTGACACTTCAATGTTATGTTCCATTTTCTAGTTATCTTAGTTGTCGTAGTTCATGTACTCATTAATACTTATCTTCTTCATTTATAACGTTATTCAAGGGATGTTGCAGAAAAATTTAATTATATTATACGACTGTTAATTATAATATTAATAATAATAATATGTTTACAACGTAGCAAACAAAACAACAGACATACAAATTATACACGTATGATATGACAACTGTTATACAATACACAGACATATTTGTCATTCCAAGTCAAATATAAATTTATATTTATATAAATACTAATTTATATTACCTCCTGTTAAATGCTATTTGAAACACAATCGATTAATTGATATTAATATTGCAGTATATTCATGACGCTTTTAAAAAGTTAAATTGACACTTCAATGTTATGTTCCATTTTCTAGTTATCTTAGTTGTCGTAGTTCATGTACTCATTAATACTTATCTTCTTCATTTATAATGTTATTTCATTTGCATTGCAGGCACTGTCCTCGGATTTTTCTAAAAATTTAACTAATCATCTAGGCTAGGGTGTGTCTGTTTTCATGGAAATAATTTTTTAAGTATATGGTTGATATTTATTAATAAATTGATTCTGGAACATAGTTTTTTATAGATATTAAAAATTAAAAAATATCTGAAGCTCAGTTTTTGTTAAAACAATTTTCTAAGTGTTATGCCAATAAACATAACAGTGGTTTTTTGTAAATAAAAATTTAACCAATCATTTAGGGTCTGTAAAATTTCAGGCTTTATTAATGATAAAACCATGTGAATGGTGTAAATTTTATTAATTTTAATACGGTTTTTGGTAAAAAAAGTTTAAACTAAGGAAATTTGTTTACACTGAATAAAAATTTAATTAATCATAGAGCATGTCAGTTTTTATTTTATAATATAAACTCTTTTATGAATATGTGGCTAAAATTTAGATTGATTCTGAAACATAGTTTTTTTTAAATAAACTTTAAAATTATTCTAGCCAAATTATTCAATATGTGCTTTTAATATAAAAACTAAAAACTAACAAAGTATTAATCTAGGGCCTGTGAAATTTTCAGGGTTTGTTGACAACATATCAAAGTACATTTTGTGAAAATATAAAAAAAAACTGATGCTCATTTTTTGTGTCTTTTAAGTTTAAAGCCAAAAACCATACAAACGGTTTTTTGTGAATAAAAATTTAACTAATCATATTTCAGGGTTTATTAATAACAAATTTGCATATGTTTGATGCAAATTCTATTCATTTCTGAAGCGTATTTTTTTGTAAGATGTAAGTATTTTCTAACCCAACTGATGCAGAGAACAGCTAAAATTATATAAAAATAGTTTTCTATTTTGTATAGTACCGTTACAATTTTATTAATTTTGTTTATGTTTTTTTTGTTTTATTTTTTACCGCTATTATTATTTATTAAATTTATTTATTAACAGAAATTATTGTTTTTTGCAGTTAATTTTTAGAGCGGTTACTTTCACAATGAATGTTGTCATCATAAGGTTTCTCAGTAGAGACATATTAGGTGTTGTGAATGTTAGGTTAGTGTATGTGTAGATATATTTAATTAAATGTTTTTGTTAAATATTACTATTCATTTGTAATGTAACTCTTTATGAACTTGTCTTTCTTTATTGCTGCTCATCTTTTTTTATTTAAATGTCTTTATTGTTATTGTCATGCTTTTGGTTGGGCGTTGTACAGTTAATTGTTGCTTTCTATTCTATTAATAAACTAATTTATAAATTTATTAATTTTTGATCTGAATGCTTGTTGAGAAAATATTTTGTTAAAATGCATGAAATATTTTGCAAAGAAAGTAAAAAAGTAAACGATTTTTTAATGATTATCACTGATATTGTGAAGAGATGCAAAGTTTCTGTTTTTTTTCTTGGTTCATCGTCATCATCGTTTTAACGTCCGCGCTTGGACGGGTTGGACGGCTTCAAAGAATGTCACTCCTCCAAACATCGTGGTCTTGTGCATCTTCCATTTCTCATGTCATCTGCCCAAAGTTCTACTCTTTCCAAGTTTTTCTTTCTCTTCCTCTACCCTTCTCCTCGTCAACTATCACATGTCTACATGCTGACACCCAGTTATCCTCTCTCTCCAGTCTCCATCTCAATCTACCCTGTCTCATCCTTCACTCGTTTTTCTGTCCCTCAGTGTTACACCACACATCCACCTAATCATCATTTTTTCTGCCCTTTCCATACGCTGCATATCTCCCATTTTCATAGCCCATGTTTCACTGCTATACATCATCACACTTTGAACATACGTACTGTATGTTTTTTTTTACCTTTGAAGAAGCACCTCTTGCTTTCAGAATCGGAACTAGTTTTCGAAACTTAGCCCAAGCACACCGCACTCTAGCTCTCAACGCATCCTCAGCTCCGCCTCTAGATCCATATCTCCCAGATGACAAAACTTTTCCACGCATTCCACCTTTCCTTCACAATCTATTTCTATGTTTTTTTCTATTAACTTTTGTTCCCCTCCATCAACACATCTTTTACGCCTGAAGCAACCACTTTTAGACTGCCAGTTTGCATCTCTTAAGCATCCATTTCTTACAAGCACTACAAATTATTGAGTTTGCTCCAACATCCATCTTGCACACCGTACACCGAAAAAATTTATAAAATTGAAAGATTTGATTGTTGTTATAATTTATGTAGTTATTTTGATTTATTCATTAATATATTTTTGTTTCTATGCATTACTATTAAGGTTTTTTAATTGAAATGTCATATTGAAGTTGATGTAGTTTTCCTTCATTTCTGTGATTTGTATTCCTATGATGTTTGAGCAGTTTCTTTGTGTTGTGTTATTCATACTAATAAGTAAATTGTAAATTTGAGTAAATTTTTTATTTTATTTATACACATTTTCTTCTAAAATTTCAGGTTGATGTTGCTGTACAACACTGTTTTCATTCTTACTAGTGAGCCGTTCACCAGAGCTTGTTTAAAAAACATTGACAGCCCCACCGTCAATTTAAACAGCTACAATAGTAAAAGTGATAGCAATGAAAATAACAATGTTACGAGTTATGATAAAATTGAAAAGATCGTTAATATAAAAACACACAACAATTATAACAAAACTAGAAAAACTTGCCATAATATCAAGAATGAAGATCTGAAACGATGGTCTTCTGTTATCAATTTGCTTTGGGGCTGGTATGTTTTTGGTTGATTATTGGCAGTTTTGTTTGTAATTAGATAATTAGATTAAATCTAACTTTTATGTTAATGCTAATTTGATTAATTGGTCAGTAGTGACATTTATTTAATGTTTATTTAATGACTGGCCAGCATAACAGCTGTTCTTAGTTTACATTGATGAAGTCCAGTAAAAACTTACAAAAAAAACGGGTTAACTCCGACATTTGTGTTAACAATCAAAAATTGCCAAAAATAGTTAGTTTAAATTATTAGTAATTTATAGAAAAATTTTGGGAAATTAAAGAAATTTGACGTTGAAATTATAATAAATTCAAACTTCTATGTTTTTCAGTGTTTGAAAGCGATTATTAGTGTATGTAAAATATCGAGATGGTCTTCTGTTGGTTTGTGGTCAAATTTTTTATTGATGACTAATTGAATATTTATTGACTAATTCATATTTTTATCCTTAATACAATATAATAATATTCAATTTGAATGCTGACTCATTCATTGAATTGGTTAAGTGCTGCTCACAGTGATAAAGTAATAAGAGTGACAGTTAAAATAGTTTTAAGTTTGATTTCAAAAACCAACTATATTAATATATTAAATTTTGATACATTAAATTACCGATGTTTTGTGCTATTTGCTAGAAAGAAGCATTATCTTAAAAACTAGCGACATTAGTAAAACATCTTAATCAAAGTAATGGATTGTTCATTAATCGATATGAGCAGTTTTTTGTACACAATTCTCGTTATAAATACCTCCACTAATGAAACGTGAACATAGATGTTACTTTATTGATGTAACTTGCACGATCGTAGGTTTATGGATTTTTGATGGTTAAACACAACTTTTTTAAACCTAGACTTGTTTATATGCTTATTTGAATGCTAACAATAATAGAAACACTGAATCATTCTCCAATTCCAGAAATACACTATATGTCGCACGATCGCCAATAATTCTCGGCGCAACTCCATTATCCAACAACTCCCCCTCTACAACTCGTCCAACTTTACAACCCGCGTTACAAAGATATGTGATTCTAACAACTAATATGTAGTGAAAGCGTAGAGTTATTGAATCAAGATGGCAATTATTTATTGAAAGTAATTAAATAGCGCAATTTGCAAAACAGTATTTTGACTTTTGCAGCGGTTATAACATTATTGTGGTAGTTGTATAATAGAATGACAAATTCTTGATGATCATGGAAATTTCTATGTAAGTTTATTTATTATGTTGGTCCATTTTAATAATCAACATCATCTGGTATATGGGCAAAGCGAAATGACCTCATATGTTAACCAAATAGTCAATCTTTCAGGAGTCAATGATTCGACTTGTGTGCATTGAGTTTCTGACGGTTATGATCATAATGAAAAATGGAGGTACAACATGTATTGGGTTTAAATGTTAAAATTTAAGGTTGACGACGTTTTAAAATTATATGAGCTGTCCAAACAAGGTAATAATGATGATATTCAAGTAAACGTTTAACTACAAACAATTTAAATTGTTGGATACTCTGTTGTTGTAAATACTGTAGACTGTAAAAGAATTATGGGATTAATGTTTTTGCTTATACTAAGATGGTGGATTAATTAAATTAAAACATAAAATCTTGCATGTTCATTTTGTGTTTGTGAAATTAACAGACAGAATCTTATATCTCAATGATACTGCGAAAACTGCACGTGATTAATTGGTTTTAGTTAGAAATTTTTTTCATAGAGTATTTATTAAATAAGAAAGAAATAAATCCATGAAACTTATTTTCAAACTTACAAATTTATTGTGATAATTATATCACCTTATCACTGTTGTTTTGAAATTGTATGTTAGTCATAAGTTGCGAAAAGTTTATTATACGACATTTAAAGTCCTACTATATTTTTATAAGCTTTATTAGCAACAGGAATATATTTTAAAATTATTTCATGACTGCAGTTTGTGCACGAAATGCTTGCATATACCAAAAAATTCTTTAAAGGGTCTTTTAAGTATACATAACAATTTTAGAGCTTCTTGTCGATTGGATGAATAGTGTAATAATTCATGAAGGTCACACAGACATACATTCTCTTATATATTTAAATAGATATTTTTTAATTAAAATAAAAATTATTCATCTATTCAGCTTTCCTGTAGGTTTACTCTGGGCAGTTTTCTGCTCCGTCATATGGTTGACGTGCTTAGATTGGCCAGATAATTCAATAACAAGTAGTTATAGTTCAGCTGTCATTTTATACGCTTTATCTGCCGTTATTGAACTTTTAAGTGAACCCATAAAGATTGTGACACAAATACTACTTCTTGTCAAGATCAAGGTAATTGATTTATACTTTTAATACCGTTAATCTTTTAAAAATTTGCGTTAGTTGTAAATTTCAAATTTGAGGTTATTGTGCAGTCGTTAGTTTTGATCCGTTTAGGATACTATGCTAGCAATCTTTGATAAAACTAAAATTATGATCATTCCTCGTTTATAGTCTTATTCCATTTACCAGCTTCTGTTTCCAAGCCGATCTATCTATTGCGTCTGTCTCCTTGAGAGTCCTCCTGTATGGTCTGCGTCCAGGACATCTTTGGGCGACCTCTTAGGCGGGTGCCAGGCACCTGGTACTCAGTAACGGAAATTATTGTATCGTTTTTGCTTCGCCAAACCATCGCTGCATCCAACGAAATCATCTTCATGTCGGTTTGGTGAAGCTGCTGTTCGAGTTTTGTTGTCATCGGCCACGTCTCTGCACCATACATCAGAACAGATCATATAGCTGTGTTGTACAGCTCTGAACTCTTTGCCATCAATTTTTTGCGCCAAATTAGACTATCAGTTGTATTCATTTCATTTAAATTTAGAGCTTTTTATGCCTTGCTCGATTGTTTGCGACCAGGACTCCTGATGAGCCACCATGCATTTCTTTAAGAATTCGAGGGATTTTATTTTTAGATACCACAATCTGCAGGCAATGTTTCGATTCATATGTTAATTCACATTTTCTTTTATGCAACCTAACTTCCATCTGCAAGGAGTCCCACTGAGCCAATTAGCTTTTTTTCTACGTCGCTGGCCTGATTTCTTCTATGCAATGACAATTCCGTGCTGTCTTCTTGCACACTGTGCGCTTGTCAGGTTTTCCGATCCCCATTCTGTATCTGCTGTTATTAATATTTTTTGCACATCATCTATTTGTACTTTTTCTTTCAGTTGACTGCAGTATTTGCAACCTGGTAAACAAGGTTTGAAAAAACCAGGGCATGACAAAAGAAGCTTTGTCACGGTTATTGCTTGTGTGAAAGAAGCAATTTTTTTTAATTGTGTGTTGTTTAGTTATTTTTTTTAGTTGTAGTTTATGACATTTTTTGGACAACAGCAAGCGATATGGCGAGTGTGGCATGTTTTAGGAATAAGATAGGATGAAATTGAAGCAGCAAGAATTAAATTTACGAGAAAAAGAGATGGAGAGAAAAAAATAAAGAACATGAAAGAGAATGTAAATTAAGAGAAAGGGAGATGGAGAGAATGGCTGAAGAATTTAAATATCAAATGAAGATAAAGGAGGAAAAACTTGCGATAAGACTGAAAAGCTTTAACCTACAAAATGAACAAGAACGATCGTCATTGAAAAAGAGATTCAATGTTAAATCGCATTAAAACATTTAGCGACTAAATGAAAAATGTGATGGGGAACCCAGCGAATTACCAAGTTTTTTTGAAAATCTAGAAAACCAATTCGACCAATTTGGTGTTGATGTTACTTCAGATGTGTCTACATGATAAGGCTAAATCTCTTATATCTCGGTTAACAGTTCAACAACTTAGTAACTATAACACGTTGAACGAGTTCAGAGTGAGCCCAGTCAGATTAAGAGAACAATTTTTTAACATCAGGAAATTACTTAATGAAACATACCAGCTCCTATTGTCAAAGCTGAAAAACACATGGATATATTATTTTAAAAGCAGGAATGTTGGAGAAAATTTTGATAGATTATTGTTGGACTTTGATAAATTGGCTCGAGCAGCTGATAATTATTTGGCAATATATGAAAGCACCAAATCCCGTCGCAGGGAAATGGAACTAAATGTTGGTTTAAAGAAGAGTATAACGATAAGCGCATTGTAAACATAAACAAAGAGGAAGCTATGGAGAAGGGACTATGTTTCAGATGTTAAAGGCCAGGTCATGTAGCGAAAAACTACTCAGCCGGTAAAGATTCAAAGAAATTCAGTATATCACGAATCAGAAATAAAGGAAAATGAATTTCTGTTTCCAGAAAGATCAGCGAATATCGAAAAGGAAAAATTGCATCGAAGGGAGTTCGTTGATATATATGTCGATTGAATAAAAATACCGAAGGCACTTGTCGATGGAGGGGCAGAGATTAGCTGTATCCATCCAAGGTTTATCGATTGGTCAAGAGTAATTGTGCAAGGCAAGATTTCTGTTTTGGGACTTCAAGGAAAAGCAAATATTATAGATGTAGTAAATTTGGAAGTGCAACATAAAATGGAAGGTTTTGAATAGATGATAAATATTGCACCTAGAGTAACAGTTTGGTTTGCAGTAGTGACGTACCTGAACAATAATTTGATCATAACACCAGATGTAGTAAACTTGCTGAAGGAAATAAAAAATTGTTCAGTACTTTCAAAGGAAGACGTTTTAGACACATTGAATGCAGTAGGTTTAAACATTAATGCCGAAACGGAAATTAGAACTGATAAACTGGAAAAAGATGAAAACGATCACAACGTAGGGGAAGATTGCGAACGTGAGGTTTGTAGAAATGATTGTGATGATGGCGTTGATAAATATGAATATGATCCTAGAAAAGTGAATGAATTTGATAACGATACGCAACGCGAAGACGACAACAACGATGATGATAATCCTAGTAATAGTGTTAGATATAACCATAACATTAGTGGTCACGTCAGTTGTTAGTGATAATAAGCTGGAGTTGCATAAAAAATAAATTTCAATGAACTGGATAAAAAAACAGGTCATTGATATCAATGTTATCAATGGGGTATCACAGAATGATGGCTTAAATTTTGGTTTTGTCCCAATTTTTTATTACATTTAAGGAAATTTTTATGTAAGAACTATTACAAAAAATGTAATAAAAGGATTGAGATGGACTACATTAATAACCGTTGGATTTTTTCCATCTTTGGTCACCTTTATTGAATTTAGTATTCTGATCTCAAATCTATCGTTTAACGTTATCTATCTTTTTTTTCCATTTATTTCTTTTTGTTTCTCTTTCTAATTAATTAGACTCAATTCGACGTTATATTCGTCTACAAATATATTTGAGAAATCTCAATTTTTTTTACCTTTTCTTTTTTACTTTTTTTTCTAGTTAGATCTTACGGTTTTGTTTCTCTCTTATTTCCAGCTAACTTTCAAAAGTATTTTAGCACACCATTAAAATAATTTATTATAATTTGCCTTTCTCTTCTTGTCGTCCATGTTTCGCATGCATACTGCCGTGCACAAAAGAGTTTTTTATAATTTTCAATTTTACAAATGTTTTAACGATACAAATATTATTCGTGCATTAACATTTTTTGAACAGTTGTCGTTATTTATTAAACTATCGAAGTAAACTGATTTACTTGTTAGATTTTGTTTAATTTTTTTATCAAATTTTAACGATTTTACGATTTTATTGTTAGTATTGTAAGCAAACCTGAAATCCTGTCTCCGATATCAATTTTGCACGGTTTTTTTTCGTTAATTCTATCGATATCATCATCGAAAATTAAAATGTCAGTACCTATCCCAATCATCGGTAACAAATGAGACAAATATTTTTTATTCTCTTTGATGCTTTGTCAAACGCAAAGCGGCTTACGTGTAATTTATGTAACTAAACTATCTATTACTATCTACATTACACGGCATACATCCATCATACTTGTGTGAAAGTCTTTGAGTTTCAGAAAGGCAGTATTCTAACCATGCCGTCGTGCAATAGCAGTGCAAGACATGGCATTTCTACTATCTTGCTCGGTGACCGTATACTTTTGATGTTTTGATATTTATTTCTCGTTCGAAATATTTATATGTCGATAATAAATTTTCAGTTACATTTTTCGTTGCCGTTGAATATCGAGAAAATAGAGAACATAATTAAAATGCTTAAAAAGTTATACAATAGATTCTTATAATTGTATGAGAGTTATTCAGTGTAAATGCATATAACCACGTGGTTATAATTCTTTGTTTTACGATTTCGTTAAAGGAATTAAGAAATTCTTAGTTGTTAAAATTCTTAGTTGTTGGAGGTACCCCACCTCCATTATATTAACGTTAATAACAAGCCTGAGCGCAGAAGTGGCGTATTATAATTACGAGGTTAACGTTGTAGGCTAATTAACATTGAGCTCTATTGGTAGTCATGACAATATTAATGACGTACAAATTTTTATATTGAATGATATTCAAAATTTTCCAAAAGCCAATTGTTGAAGGTCTTTCATTAGCTGTTGAGACGTCAGTACTAGTTATCTCAGTTTTGTACTGGCCACAAGTTGGACTGTTTGCCTTTTGCATGTCTAAGGTTAGTTAATTTTTTGTTTAATAAATTACTAGAAGCCTGCCGTTGTCATTTATTATTCAAAACATCTCATTTATTAAAAACTAAAGGTCTGGATGAGATGTTTTAACCAGAGCACATACTTTTAGGCCTACAATTTTTTAATTTATGAATTAAAATACTTTGTTCTCCCATGTATTCCACAAAAATAATTATTTCTACGAATTAGTCTAAAAAAATTTTAAATTATTCTGATATCGTTAGAGAAAAGATGGCTAGAAGTCGAAAATTTTATAGGGTCGCTAATGACCCTATACAATTTTAGGTTTGCATTTTGTTTTTTTTTCCATTTTAAAACATTAAAGTTTATATAAGTTCAATTTAAAAAGATATAACAAAAAATAACAATTCCATTTAAAAATTTTAAAAAAAAAGTACATTTTTATTAACTTTCATCATTGAAATAAAAATAATGCAAATCTTAAGTCATAATATATTCAAAAAATTAGTTCTCAAACAAATATAAAAACAAAAAAGTATTTCTCAAACAATTTTATAAACAAAAGAGTATTTCTCAAACAAATATATAAACAGTTGTTGATAAGTAATACTACTTATATTTATTGTTCATAAGCACATATCTAGACAAAAGATATTAACAATTTCTTTTTATTACACTGGTATGCATTTTTTTTAATTTTTAGATGTATCAAACATAAGTTCTAACTAAATTTGGACATGCTGGCTTCAAATATGTCAATTTTTCACAAATTCAGTTTTACCATTTTTATTTTTACTGATTTTTAACATTCTATTTTTACGATTATCTATAAAAAATTTGTTCAAAATAACAATTTAAAAAAATAATAAAATGAGAATGTTAATACATAAAGCATAAAACTTCAAATTAATGACAAAAACTTCTTTTTCTTGATTTTCAATTTCTCCCTTTTCAGTATCCTACAATAGTCCGCCATCGGGTTAACGTTCAATCGTCTTTGATATCTGATTTCCATTGTTTTAATGTCTTGGTGACCCCTTTCACTCATTTCTTTACTATAATCGCCAAGACTTTCCGGAAAATAATCCGATAATGAAAATAAAAAGTGAATTTTGAGGCTCATTTGACATCTTATTTTTTTGAACGCAGAAAGCATTTCATTAACATAGTTTTTTGCTCTCTTGTTTCACGTTTTCTATACTATGAAAAAGTTGTTTCAGATTCCAGTAAATTCTTAGCCTTTAAACGGCATCCCAGTAACTCTAATGAAATTTTTGATAAATTCAAATCTCGAACAATAACAAGCAATATTCCTCTAGAATTTTAACTGCTAAGTGAAAAATTGTCTTTATCAATTCAACAACATTGTCATAACTTGATTCATCATTTGGCAAAACTGTCAATTGTATCGGAACAAGAATGAGGTACTGGTCTCAATGCTGAAGGCAAATTAGGATATGATAAATCTTTTTTATCTTTCACAATTTATATACTATGAAAAAGTTGTTTCAGATTCAATCTTTTTTGGTGTTTACCATGCAGAAAAAAAAATTGTCTGTGATTTTTGAGTTTACGCCATGCCATCATTGGAATTCCAAAGTTAAAAAAATTTTCAAACTTCTGCTCCAACTTCTTAGTCTTTGGAGAATTCGAACAACATCTTCTGAAACTTGAACAAGTTAAATCAAATGAATTAAAATGAATAGAAATAATAAATTTATTTTAATTAAATATTGGCCTGTGTATATACATTGTCCATCTGAGTAATGAATTTATACACAGATACATGCGCATATATATTGGATTATATCATTGAAATATCAGGCGTTATCTGGATTATGTAATGTGTTTCAGTTATGATAATTTGAACCATTTTTTTAGATTTATGAAAAAACTCTACGTGCTAAAAAAATTGATTACATACTTGAAATCAGCATATTGAAATCTATTAGAAACATCATAAATACCAGTGTCATTGATATCAGTGTTTTTGTTTATTGTTATTACTATAATTGTATCAATAAATATATTTTTTGAAGATTTTACTGATTTTACTGATTCATCATTGCCCCCAACTAGCTTTCCTACAGTTGCTCCGTGACAATCTCTTACTACACATACATCTTATACAAGATTTATAAAAATACTAAATGTCGTTGCATTACTAATAATAATCTTTACGCAAAAAACATTGAAAATGACCATAAGTTGACGAATATAAATAATAATGTTAATAATAAAAAAAATTCTAAAATAAGTTTTATCAACAATACTTACGACGATAATGAACATTTGGATAGAAAAAGCGCGGATGAGTTTCCTTTCACTTCAATTTGGAATATTTTGCCTTCTTTTGTGTCGGCATCATCATTTTCATCTATTTCAGATGTGAGTGTAATTTTATGATAGTAAATATTTTCATAACTTAAATATTTTTTAAAAATTTTGGTTTTTGTAATTTTATTTAACTTATCATGAAAATTGAAAATGTTATGCTGTAATTAACTAAGTTGCTGTTTTTAAAAGTCATTAGAAACACCAAATGAAATTAATAATGTTGGAGTGAAAAGCCTAGATAAAATTGAGGCAGTAAAATTGAAAAAGTCAACAACAAAGCTTTTATGGAGTTTTTCTCGACATGTGATCCTAAAACAAGTTTTTACTGAAGGTAAACAAATTTTTTTTACTATAATATTGTTGATTTGTTTAACTTAATTATTTTTATACTTTAATCTTTTTTATATTGCATTACTGTTTTTTAAGGATTGTTCATTTTTGTTTAGTTTTCAGGGAATCAGATTCTTGGTTAAATTTTTTTTTAGAATTTTAAAACATTAAAGAACTCCAATATAATGACATTAATTGAGGAAGGTTCGTATAAGATTAGGAGGGACGGACTATGGTTTAAATTGTTTTATTGACCTCTTTTTTTAATACCGTTCAGCAGTTGTACATATTTTTTAAGTTTTACATATTGGTGGAATGCATTAACGATATTTTCGAGCAAGCACTTGAACAAATGTTTACGGCAATCAGATGATGAGGAATAAAGTGTCTGGAATCTGCAATATAACCGCAGAATTACTAAAAAACACGCGATATGGGGAGAAGAAATTATCAGAGGACTGGGAGAAAGCAGCAATATTTTTTATCCACTAGAACGAAGATAGAAAAATATGCAACGACTCAAGAGTCATAACAGAAACGGAGATAGAAAAATATGCAACAACTCAAGAGTTATAACATTGGACTAAAGGTCATAATCTAACTAAAAATCTACTTTTCTATGTTGGTCCCGGTTTTGATATATAGAGCTGTGTTGTGAGCATTAACAAGAGCCATTAAAAAAATAAATTTCAACCTGAGAACAATAAAATGAAAATGTTTAAAGCCTAGTATAATCTATTTAAACATGTTGCGCAATTCTAGATTTTTATTTTTTGAATGTTTTTAGTGATTATGAATATTTTCAAATTATTCAAAAAATAATTCTTTTTCATTTAAGTGATTAAAACTTTGTTAAAATCGGTTTTTTAGCTTTATACACACTAGCAGACATAAATGAAACCGATTTTTAGAAAATTTTCATTTTTTAAATGAAAAATAATTTAAATAATTTTTTAAATTACTTTAAGATAATAAAATTTACTTGAAAAGATTAAAAAAGTTAAAAAACAAAATTAAAAAAAATTGAGGGCTAAAACCTATCCCAAACGTTTAAAATTCAAACAATCAATCTTCGTTTAGCGTCCAAAGGCCCAGTAGGACGTTGTTTTCTTTGCCATCAATTTTTTGCGCCAAATTAGACGATCAGTTGTATCCATTTTATTTAAATTTAGAACTTTCATGTCTCGCTCGATTGATTGCGACCAGGACTTTTTAGGACGTGTGCCAGGTACTTCAACATCTGCAAGAGAAGTTACGGCACTGTTTCCACTTCGTTTGACATGACCAAACCACCGCAGACGGTGTTGCCGGCATTCGTCTTTTATATCATCTAGACCAGCACGACGCAAGAATTAATTACAAATTAATTAAAAATATTAAATAATCTTTACTAGAATTAGCACGTATCCTTTTAACTTTTTACTTTGCCTCTCCATAACAGTATTCTGGCAATCCCAACAGTTCTGTTCAATTTTCCTTATACCAATCACTAAAACATGTTAGAAAATCTGTTAGATTAAAGTGAAGTGAACAAATTTTAGAATATTTGTTTGGAACATAATCTTTACTAGAATTAGTACGTACCCATCTAGCGCACAAATTCGGATTTATAATTGGTAGGCTGAAACGATACGTCGTTTTCTTGTTATTTGCTGCATTTTATTTGTATCAACTTTTACATCCATAAGCTGAACATTTATTCACCATTTTAGATATAATTACAATCAATCAATCTTCGTTTAGCGTCCAGAGACCCAGTTCCCTGAGATAGGATTTTTTTTTTGCCATCAATTTTTTGCGCCAAATTAGACGACCTTTTGTATCCATTTCTTTTAAATTTAGAGCTATCATGTTTTGCTCGATTGTTTGCGACCAGGACTTCTTTGGACGGCCTTTGGAACTTGTTCCAGGTACTTCAACATCTGCACAAGAAGTTGGCACCGTTTCCACTTCGTTTAACATGACCAAACTACTGCAGACGGTGTTGTCGGCATTCGTCCTTTATATCATCTAAACCAGTACGACGCAGGATTTTGGTAGATTTGATGTGGTCCTTCAGACTAATTTGTTGCATCCATCGGAGCATTTTCATGTCGGTTCGTTGAAGTTGTTGTTCCATTTGGTTGTCATAGGCCATGCTTCTCCACCATATAACACCGTACATATCACAGATTTATAAAGTCTTGATCATAGTGGTAGTGGGATGTCACGCAGCATCAATATAGAACAAGGAAATGCCATTTATTCCAGGCTGCACGTATGCGTGCTCGAACGGCAGCATCAGCTGAACAGGGCCATCGTCCAGTAGCTGTGGATTGGATGGGTTCACCAGTGTTTATTGATTTGGTTTTGCTGATGTTGACTTCTAATCCATGATCGGCGAGTCTGATGGCCCAATTTTCAAACATCTGTGATGCATTCTGCTCAGATGTGGCTGTTTAAACGATATCATCAGCATATGTTAGATTCCAAATGTCACCAGTGTGTATCGGTTTTGTGATTTCTTCCATCACAGTTATAAATAACAGTGGACTGAGAGCGAGCCTTGATGAACTCTAACGCCGATGTCAAATGCATCTGTGTTTCCAACGGTTGTGCTGACGAGAGTCTTAGTATTCGTAAACATTACCATCACAAGTCGAATGAGTTGTCGACGTAGACTCCACCTGATTCCTTCACGGGGAACTCGATTAAATGCTTTTTCAAGGTCTACAAAAATGTGTGATAGTTGTAGATGTTTTGCTTTTAGTGAGCCGGTTTTGTACCAGTTTTCCCACAGTTGCAGCGTTTATCAAAACGGTTTTATAGGTACTCCAATCTGTACTTGCTTGCAATTGGTGGTCTAATCTTTTAAAAAAATGTCCATAAAACTGCATCCTCGCTGCCTTTCGTGCTTTTGAGCTAAACTTATAAGGCCTAACTTATAGCTGGTGATTGTCGTTAGGATGGGTGTCCGGATGTAAAAACTTTTCCCAAACTATTCTAAAAAATTTAAAAGTAAAAAACGTTTTGTGATTTGTAATCTTTTATATGCGATTTTTGCTTTTGAAACTGGCATAAACATATATATTTCTTAGACGAACCGAGTTATCAAAATTACTAATTACTAAACTTTATGCACATGATTGATAAACACATAGTTAATTAATTAATAACTAAAATTTTGTTATTTTATGTTTTTATTTTATTATTTTTTTGTCAGTTTTTATACTAATATTGGCATAATATGGTAGAAAGTAGAAATCTTTGCTTCAAATCTTATTGCAACGGATTGTTCAAACGCAAGTGGTTAACATCTAAGTCATTTTTGTTCTACTACATAACGTTGAAAGTAATTTCATACCCGCAAAACTAGCTTTGAATGACTAAGTGTCGCTTTGAAATTTATTTTACCTTTCTATTTATTTCGACTATTTTCTGCATTATCAACGTTTATCTGATTTTGTTTGAATTTCCTCTTCCATTTTATGCAATATTTATGTAATATTTTTGTTTCTTCTGACTGTTTTCATTGAAACAAAATAATTTTTTTTTTGTTTCCATTTTTAACACTTTTTTGTTCACATTTTTATAAATATTCTTTTGTTAACATTTTATCAATTTGTATTGAGAGTCAACATACAACAAAAATTTTTTTTCCCAATTTTAGGTGATAGATAAAAAAAAATAAAAATCATTTTATTTTTATTCAGGAGAGAAATACATAATGACTCTCTTTGGGGTTCTCTCATTTGCAGATCAAGGTGTTTTAGTTGTTTTTTTTATATTTTTCCATTGTCGAAAAGTTGATAAGTTGTTTTTGACAAAATTACAATTTTTCAGATAAACTGTTGATATTGCACCTTGATATAAACAAAATGTAGTTTTGATGCTTAGTTAATAATTGGATATTACTAAAACAACAATAACGGTTTTATGGGTGAAACTTTCTCAATGGAAGATTAAATATATGTGATGCAAAAAAAAAAGATAATGATGGTGTTAAAATTAAAGGTGTAGTGCAATTGGATCTACATAAAAGTCATTCATTGGAATGATACAATTCTTCCTAAACTTAACCCTCTCTATTTTCACATCTTTCTTTACAATCCTTTTTTTTAAACATTTAGTTTATGAACGTTAACTTTTATCTGTCTAATTAATCAACAGTGATTATTGATAAATTAAGTGACTATTAGTTTGAAACTTATATTGTCTTTATTTTCTACTGGGATTAAACTAACGCGTCGTCTATCGGGCAGTTTAACAATATTTTATCGTCTGGTTTTGTATGATTGATTGATCAGTTTGCGATGGGTCTTCATTTTTATAACTTATATATATATAGTACTAGAACATTTTAAAATGCTGCTTTTGTGATAAATTTATTGATGTTTGTCAAAAAATAATCTTGATTTGGTTTCAAATATAGCCACTATATGGCTATTTTTCTTTATTTTATGTTAACACATTCTGTTTCACATTATTAAATCATATTAGTTGACGGCGGTTAACTAACTAGTTTTTTGGCGATACTAAGAAAAGTTAATCGCCCACTTTACATCTATTAAAGCAAATATCTTTTTTTAATTTTTCTTATGTTGGCCTTTATGATTATAGTATATAGACAAATATTACTACTAAGTTTTTTGATTTCAAATATCACAATAGGCGTGTACAGTGTAGTAAACAATTTGGGATCTTTGGTTGTGAGGATCTTGTTCTTACCTATGGAAGAAAGTTTTTACTTGTTCATGTCTCAGACTGTTAAGAGAGGACACGTTTCTTTTGCTGATATTAATGATAGCGGTGTTGGAGTCAGTCGTTGCAAAGAGTCCGAACTAGGCATAGATGAAAAGGAAGATATTAAACAAAAAATAGTTAGCTTATTGTATTTTTATTGATTTGAGTTTTTCTTCTCATTCCATATCACCGTAACCTAATGTAATTAACAAGCCTACGCCCTAACAATTCCTTTAAAATTTTGAATGTGCTTCAGGCGATCGTTTTGTTTGTTTAGAAATGACAAAGTTAAAGACGAGTTGCTGTAGCTATATCACCGTTATCTACATTGACATGAACAATATTAACAACGGCATGTTAATCACATTATTATTTAGAAGTCTTTTTTAATCTTTATAGATAAACATGAATTTAACTATTTTAATTAGTGACTATAATACCGCCATTATTGTAAATTAGCCTGGGCTATAACAACAGCTATTACCATATATGAGAATATGGCATTACTTATAAAATTTTATTTAGTTCTACTAATTATTCATTGAAAAATTTGTCGTAAAATGTTAACAATGTTTATAAACCAAGGTATGTCAAAAAATTTTAAGTCATAGTTTAATAGAATATGGCTGTGGTTTTGTATCATTAATTTATTAATAATTTTTATTTCTTTTTTCTGTATTTTTTATTCAAACAATATTTTCAAACGGAATAACTATACAAATATTTACATATAATATTATTACTTTTTTGAATTGGTATTGTTTTTTCTATTTATGTGTTACTTTTGTATTCTGTTTTAAATAATTCTCATTTTCAAACTAGGCAAACAAATTATTACGTTTATCTGTAATAGACTTTTTTCTTTCGATTTTACACTTGCGTTTAATTTATTAATGTATTAGTTTTGCATTTTTTGTATATTGTTTAATATTTCTCATTATAATAACAATTTTAAATATCGTCTGTTCAAACAAATAATGTTTTTAATGTTTACATTTTTTACTTTTTACATTTGATTTTGCTCCACCCTTACGATTAACCATTTCTATATTTTGTATTTCTTTTACAATCTTTTTTGTGCATCATTAAAATTGTCAAGAAAATAATTTTTTATTTTGTTTTTTTATTTGATTCTGTGCTAAGCAAAAATACATGTTGTAATAAATTGAAAATAAACGTGGAGCAAAAATATTGATAACATTATAAAATTATTTAAACATTAAAATATAAACATTTATTTAGATTATTTCCAAAAGTTATTTATTTAGTTACTCAATAATGTACCACAAACTCAATGTTAACTATCCTAATTGATATACACCGTTTCAGCACTTAGGCTTGTTTATTACTTTAGGCTACAACATTAAATTACTTACTCACTAACCGGATACTATTGCCCATTAACTTATTTTTTACCATTTTCTTACTAAACATCTGCAGACATCTATAAATTTGGTGGCCACAACCTATGAAAATGTCTTACGCGTCCGAACTTTGTTAGGGCTTACCATTGCTACTTTTGGTTTTTCGTGTTCCTATTTAGCTTTACAGATTTTTTTTGGAGAGAAATTATCTGCTCCTCCAGGTTTGTTCATGATAGATAGTTTTTAATAAATGAAAATTGCAAGACAACCAAATTAGCCTGTTGATTATTGTTTGCAGTATTTAATTTACCCTTTAAAAAGTTTACTTCACCGTGTTTAAATATTTATTGAAGTTAAATAACTACATTAAATAAGAACCTATTCACTGCATTAATGTTTAGAATTTAATTTTATATTACTTAATTATTTAATGTTTCTGTAGTTTGAAATTTTTCAATAGTTGTATGCTTTGTTTGTTGCATCACTTTAGTTTTTAGAGGTATCACGACAAATGGGCGCAGCAAAAAAGGCGGACAAAAAGAGCTCAGCGATAAAGACGCGGCCAAAAAAGGCGCATACAATAAGGGTGCAAATCAAAAAAGGCGCAAGACAGATGTGCGTGAGTCCTAAGGGCGTAATTTCTGAAATTTTATTGTTTAAAAATTATTTTTGCGGGGATTTTAATTGCAGTATTCAAAGGTTTTTAGATTTGTTTAGAATTCAATTTGGTTAGTAGGTAAAGTTATATATGTATATATTTTATACATTACAAATTATTAAGAATTAAGTTTTAATTAAGTTTTAATAAGTGATATAATTTACAGTGTTGTGCTTGTTACTCATTGAAAGTAATTTGTTATTTTTACTTGTTACTTTGGGAAAAAGTAATTTGTTACTGTTACTTGTTATATTTATAGAAAAGTAATCTGTTACTGTTACTTGTTACTATAAAAAGTAACAAAGTTACTTTTTTGTTACTACAGTACAGCATGCATGTAAACAGACGCTGCAAGTACTCTTTCATATATTCTCAATATCAACATTAATAGGTGCGCACATGAATATACATATATAATACATAGAAAGATAGTCAATAAGATACATGTAATTGGTAGCACCTAAATTTACAATGTACATAAATCACTTATTTGGCAGAAAATAATTTATTTGCCCGCAAAAGCAGTTGACGCTCAAAATGCTCATCAGTCATCCGATTACTTCTAGGAACCAGTATCTGACCACCTAAACTGAAAAGTCTCTCAACCGGTGCACTTGAAGGTAATGGTTTATTGAATTTCTTGAACAACTTCAAAATACCCGGGTATTTTTGCAGGCATGCAATTTCACGAGAATTATCACTTAAATCAAGTTCTGCAGCAGCATCAACGTTGTCACGTGGTTCATTTGCAAACGAAAAAAATTCATCATCTGACACAGTACCTGACTCATGCTTGTCATCAGTATCAGGCTCAGTGACCTGCTGCTGCTGTTTAGCAGCCTGCAACTCGTCATACAGTAAACTACGAGCAATCTTTTTTTTGTCGTTATTGTCAATCCATCTCATACGAAACTGAGGCAATGTGACACTAGCTATGATCAAATCATGACGTTCATCATAACCTTGAAATCGCTTATCAAGGCCGGATAAAACATCAGTAAGCAAAGGCGCTGCCAACTTCAAAGTTGGTTTTACTGTTAGTAACTTTGTTCGCAATGACATTAACGTTGGCAACAAAAACCCAATAAAACACTTCGTTTCTGCTTGGAGTATGTCCAATGCAGCTGCCATTGGTTGCATAACACAACAATACTCTTTCAAGAAAAGGATGTCATTGGGACGAAATTGTGGGACCTCAAGAGCTACAAAAACTTCAGCAATATTGTCCTCAGATTGTTTTTCAAGGACCTGTCTTACTTTGTCAACTGCATTAAAGTACGAGTTCCAACGTGTAGCATTAGGCACAATGAAGAAAGTGTGAAACTTATCACGCACAATATCTGCAAATTGTGTGCTACGTGAAGTCTTGTTCCACAATGCAGAACACTTGACCATTGTTGACCGAGAGAGTTTTTTGTAAACAGCATCACTATTTGCACTTTCTATATCATGACTAGCAATCAAATTCAATGTGTGAGCAGCACAACGCTGATGAAGGGGTAAATATAAGTCACTGTCCTCATCATGCTCTGGTTCACTTAGCAATGCATCAACATCAACAAAAGCAACATTGTTATCATCATCATCACTAACTACACTACCATCATTTGCAAACTCTTTAAATGCTTTAACAAAGTTCGAACCATTGTCAGTTACTGTCATCAGTACTTTGTGGTTAATACGATACGCCGTATGTACAGCATTTAACCTAACAGCAATGCAATCATACGTGTAACGCCCTTTCATGCGCTCACAGCACAAAGCCGCTGAACGTCTTTCCAGAGTATCAGGATCAATCCAGTGCGCTGTGATGCCTAGAAAGCTCCTGTTGTTGGATGACCAGATATCCGCTGTTGTGCACACATGATCGACTTTGCTGAGCGCTGCACAGATGCTTTCCTTCATCGTGTCCGCGAGTTTGTCCAACTTATCTGTAAACAGAAAGACGCGTGTTGCAAATTTAGTAGGGTCTTAAGGATTGTATTTACTTTTATTTGACATCGTTCAAAATAAGCAATTAATGTGACGAACCACAAAAAATCATATTATATTATAGAGATTGAACTAACCATTAAGAGTTTTTCTCGACAAAACTTTCTTTGTTGGCTGGAGACCTTGAACAAGCTCGATGAAGGGTTGAGATTCGACGATGCTCATTGGCTCCATATACTCGACAATGAAGTTTGTCACAGCTGATCGACCTTCGCCTGCGAAATTACAGAACTACCAAGTGGGGTGCATGTTGTCACAGTTGCTTGTATGCAGGCTTTCTTTGCAGGCATGTCGGACACTTAACTAGTAGCCTTCCTCTTCCGGCATTCCTTTACTTTCTCCAAGACGTTTGGATGCTTTTTCTGTACAAGTTCACACATCATTCAATTTTAAATATTATTTCGCTAATATTTAAAAAAATAGACAAACACAAGCTAATGTCCATTCAGTTATGTATGTTGTTCAATTCAGTTGTAAATGACAGCATTTGCTAATTCATCGGATGACTGCGGAATAAAAATTAGGTGTTGTAGATAATTCATTGCATCCCATTCAGGCATTATTTCGTTCCGAAAAAACCGATAATTTATAAAAAAACAAATTTTCGTTAACATTAAAAAAAACCTTACCTCCACGTGTTTTAAAAGATTCGCTAGGCTGATCTTCGATGTGCTAAGAATCGTTCGTTTTGGTAAGCACCGCTTGCACTGTACTCTCACATTCTTTCCTTCTTCTTTAACTACGTTAAAATATTCCTTCAGTTGTTCCATCCAAGCTACTTGGCCTACTTCATTATCAGTTGAATCCAATTCCTTCTCGTCTTCCATTATGCCAACTAAATCCGCGCAACTTACTAAATCACAAACCACGTGAAATGCTGAGACTGAGAGTAAACATAAACAAGAAAAGGAAGTGCATACAAGCATAGAATATTAAATTGGCAAGTCATGGAAATGGTTCGTCTAATGAACGACTGAGCCGCAACAGGACAACCAATGATGGTTATAAATCAAGCACTGCTGAAAAAAGTAACGAAGAACAAAAGCGCATAATATTTATTACTGTTACTGCAAAAAAATAATTTGTTACTGCTACTTGCTACCCTGCACAAAAAGTAATCTGTTACAATTATTTGTTACTGGAAAAAGTAATTTGTTACAGTAATTTTGTTACTAGTAATTTGTTACTCCCCAACACTGGATATAAATAATATTAATGATCTTGTTACTGATTTTATGAGTTACTTTTATAGTAATATTTTAAATGATGTAAAAGTGAGTTTAGAATGCATATTCAATTGTGACTTTAAAAGCAGGGTTTCATTGCACTGCATGCTTTAAAACTGTGACACGAGGTTATTGTACAGGCGTGCTACCAAAATCTTTCAGAGCACATCGCACGAACAATCTGTGAAATGACAAAATGCATTCGAATCCGACAACGCAAAGTAATCCTAGAAAGAGTCCACTTACTAAGCCATTTACGCCGGTAACGCAATTTGATTAAATTTTGTTTTTTATAATTCAAGAAATTATTTTCAATTTTACGATGCTGGGAAATGTTGCAATAAATTACCTTTAGCACATCGCACGTACAATCTGTGAAATGACAAAATGCATTCGAATCCGACAACGCAAAGTAATCCTAGAAATTAATTAGCATTAAGTATTATAATTATTTTTAATTTCAATCTTACTCTCACAGCGCCCTCATTACTCGCGCTTTTATAGCTCACGCCTTTTTGCTTGTATGCGCCTTTTTTGCTGCACTCTTCTGTCGGTGAGCCTGATGCATGATAGATGTAAAATAGAGAGTGACAAGAGAAGAGACCGAGTACAGAGGCCTGAGAAACTCCATCATCAATCATAGGAAGAGGTAATGAAGAATATGAGCCAAGTTTGATTTATTGGTATAGTTTGTATTGTTAAACACACCAAAAAGAACAAACTCAAACTCTTATCTTCCGAGTAAAATTAAGTGATTAATAGGGTCAAATGAAGCTGACAAGTCCAGCAAATCAGTTCAATTCTAATTTCTTCATTTGTCATGTCTTGAATGAGTGCTATTTCAGTTAAAAAACAGGAGATGAAGTTGGGAGATATGATAAGACGTGTGTATAATGTGTGTATGAACGAATCGTGGCTAGGATTAAACATACTAGTAGTTTAGATATCGTGGAGAATTAATATAAAACGGTAATCTTAATGTTTTTAAAAAATTGGTATGATTTGAGCAAATTTAAAAAGGAAAGATTAGTGTCTGAACTGAAAGAAACGTTAGCATGTTTGGCAAAAATAAGTGCAATAAACGATGCAAATTAAATTAAAAATTTTGTTGGTTTAACGTTGGGTGATGAAGTTTTTATTAATAGAGTTTCATGAAAAATTTTCAACTGGAAAAAATGCGAAAAGAATGTCAGAATAAGATCGGATGTTAAAAGCAGGAATATTTCGTTTTATGAGGCAATAAGTGGATGAATGTTATCGATTTTAGATTTGGTCTTCGAAAGAAGTTTCAAGAGTTTTAAAAACACCAACAGTCAATGAAGAGGTTGAAAGTGTGAACGCCAGGATTGTGGATTGCGAAATGATCCGATCACTTCTTTAGTTGACCACTCTTGCTTCCATTCCATTTGTGACATTTTGGCAACTTCATTGACATTGACTTCTTTGACTTCGTATATCATTCTTACTTCTTCTGTACATTCTCGCTACAGCATTTCTTTCGAGTTGACAGACCTTTTTTACGTCGACCGCAACGTTTGACAGGCGGTAATTGAGATGAGAACCAAAACTAAACAATGTACATTTTATTGGAGCATATTTTTCGAGTAATTTGTTTATTGTGGTTAATTTTGTTGATGTGAATGTCCAGATCACGCAAAAGTTGTAGTTCATCGAGGACTTGAATTCAAACGCAAATAGGTCAAGTTGTCAATAAAATTGATAGTGATAAACGACGATTGTCATGTATGTTATGTTGGTATGTTCACCTGTTGAGTTAACCTGAGTTGCGAGCTGTTAAGTCTATTTGATGACCCTGGGTGTTGAAATATCCGCATAAATAAATTATGGATTAAAACTGGTGATGAAAACACCTTGGTCGTTGATATTAAACTTCGCTGCTCTTTCATTAAGTATATGTATAAAAAAATATTATTATTATTATCATTATTCATAAAAATCAGAATCTGTCAAACGCAGAATGATATATATATATATATATATATATATATATATATATATATATATATATATATATATATATATATATATCTTTATTACATGGATTAAAAACTGAAGTAGCCCTCAAGACTTCATGTTTTCAGTTGACCGCTTATCCAATTCAATGGATATATATATATATATATATATATATATATATTATGAGTTATCATCTTTGTTGTTGTAATTTCTTTGTTCTTCATTGAACTAAGTCTAAACAAAAAACGTTATTCTCATAAATATTGTTATTACTTTAACCAAACCACTACCGCTAGTTTGTGCTGTGCAACAACAACAAAATTAGAAATGAAAGAGTGTTAAAAGTATACAAAAAATATTAAAACTGTAAATTGATGCAACTTATCATTTAAAATATTTAAATTAATGTATCAGACCATAACTTAAATAAGTTTTAACTCGGTTAAAGGTTGAAAACATTCGTTCATTGTAAAATAATCGTAATTAATGTCAACAATTTTTTAAATGCGTTCGGTGATACTGATAACATGTCGTGAAGCAATTCTATGTTGTTTGGTTTTTTTGAGTTGACAATCTATGAGCGCTTTGGGTGTTCTATTTTCTGATTCAAGGCAGTTTGGTAGTGGTTAGAGAGAATGAACATAAGTTTTTCATTGAGAAATGTTTCTTTATTACATGGATTAAAAACTGAAGTAGCCCTCAAGACTTCATGTTTTCAGTTGACCGCTTATCCAATTCAATGAACATTGTCCAACGTTGCAAAGAACATATCTACATTGAAACATTTACGTAAACATTCCGTGGTTTGATGCCTCTGTCCAAATGACGAAAAAACATAAAATGAATTATATCTTGAACAGCCACTTGAATTTCTTAAAATTTTTTCTTCCTGCTGTGCAACACCCATTATATCACATAAATTGACCATCCGTTTAAGTATTTGTTTCCATGACTCATCAGCCACTTGCTGCCACGTAATCAATGCTGCTGTTGTGTAGTTCTTGTGAAAGACCGTGGACCGTTAACATAATTGCATCCATGCTGATCAAAATAGCGTTAAATTTCCGACGTTTAATATTTACAAGCAAACCTTTAGCTTTTGCAGCCACAACACTATCGTTCTGGTTTTCAATTAGTGAGTATATTATTGCTTCAAATCGTACTTTAATTTTGTGAACTGATCGGTACCAGTAAGCTCAAGAGTATTAACTAGACGTTGTAGAATTTTGTTGTAGACTAGAATTTGATTTTTTGCATTTGCATGATCAATTCATGACGAATATTGCTTTGAGACAGAAAGACTGAAAAGCTGTTGGATTTTTACAAAAAATGCACTAACCTCGCTGATGCTTCAAACAGTCTGTACTAGGATCAAATTCAGACGATGTGCATGACAGTGCACATAAATTACTTGTGGAACTTTTTCCTTGATTTGGGTTTAATGTGCACCACTCATAACTGAGGCTCCATCGTAACACTGAGTGATTCCAATTCAGCTTAAACTCATCAGCAATATCAATGATAGACGATATTAGTTACGCTCCGTGGTTTTTCATTGATGACGCCATTATCAACATATGACGGAACTGTGCTGTTCCTTCCAGGGTACGTCTCTAGTTTCATCAACAACTATTGACAATACCTGACTTTTTACTAGATTGAGTCGCAACTGTTGCGCTAGACTTTGAATTATTACATTTTTATGATAACCGTAACGACTTTGAAGCTTGCTTTTAAATTTTGGAGCAAAAGCTGTGAATGTGTCTAAAAATTCCATAAGGTTTCCCTTGTTTGCCGATAATTCTTTTTCATTGTATCCTTTTAGTTTTGTTGAAACTTACATACCATTTTGCACTAATAAATACAAAAGCATATACAATTAATTATATACATATATATATATAATTTTTTGATGTTTTTTACTGTAATACTGTTATAAATTTGAGTTAAGGAATAAATTTTATCCGGCACGTTGATTGGCATGATGAAACGAGTAGGGTTTACTTATTCTATCTAATATCATATGTATATTTTACCACGTTATGAAAATACAAAAAATTTTATAGATTTGATCTAATAGTATAAGTATTATGGTAAAATAATATAATTAACGTTATTCATATTGAAAGGATTAACTCTGCTGAGATGGAACTGTGTGTACATGTTGCTGGTCTCTATCAATGGCATTACAGAGGGTTTTTTGAATGCATCTATGGATCATAAGCAGGTCGACAGGTTTGTAGGTGGATAAAAAAATATCTGGCACAAAAACTTTTTGATTGTAATTCTTTTTGATTGAATAAAATTTTATTTGATTAATGTATGAATAGTTCCTGCTCTATAAATATGGCGCTATGATAGCGGTATCAAAATTTGTATAGCGACCACAAAAAAATCTTCGTAGTCCAAAATTTGAAGAACGGAATGACCAAATCCTAACCACGACCTAAGTTGACTACATCTTTGAAACCGGCATCAATTGCTCACTCAAATAGACCGGTTCATTACTAGTCAGTCCCTAACCTAGAGAGCGATTTTGAACCTAATCTTTAGGGGGTATCTCAACTAATGTGAACTAATGCTCATTACGCATGTGAACGCATGTGAACGAAATAGAGTGAAACTTTGAAACGCCGTCTCTCATTCTTGCTGCCGCGTTTAGGATTGATTGAACACAGTCCTGTTGAATGAAATTGGCTCCATACATTTATCGAGTTGAGAAGTCAACTCTACTACAGAAAAAACTGTGAACAAGTATTTTGCTTACTCTAGAGTAAGAAAACGCCTGATAGTTCTGATTCTATGAATTTGATAGAAACATTTCTGAATTCAATATCACTTTAAGATCGTTTACCGGTGACGTGAAATTGTTCAGTAAATTTAATCTTTGCGAAGTACCTCATTTCAACATTTTAAATCATTCAATCCACAATTTATAAAAAAATCAGTTTTTAGGAACTCTTCATCTGCTTTTTCTGCCCATTCAATATCTAACAAGAGACGAGTAGCTGATGAAGATTTTATTGTTGATCGAGGTTGTTGCGTTGGAGTGGACAAATATAAAAGTGCATTCTGAAATTTGGATGGTACTTTTAACTTTTTTCTTTGCCTCGCAATAACAGTACTCTGGCAATCCCAACAGTTCTGTTCAATTTTCCTTATACCAATCACTAAAACATGTTAGAAAATCTGTTAGATTAAAGTGAAGTGAACAAATTTTAGAATATTTGTTTGTTTAGAATATTTGTTAGCACGTACCCATCTAGCGCACGAATCCGGATTTATAATGGGTAGGCTGAAACGATACATCAACTTTTACATCCATATGCTGAACATTTATTCATCATTTTATATATAATTACATTCAATCAATCTTCGTTTAGCGTCTAGAGACCCAGTTCCCCGAGGTAGGACGTTGTTTTCTTTGCCATCAATTTTTTGCGTCAAATTAGGCGACCATTTCATTTAAATTTAGTGCTATCATGTCTTGCTCGATTGTTTGCGACCAGAACTTCTTTGGACGGCCTTTGGGACGTGTGCCAGGTACTTTAACATCAGCAAGAGAAGTTATGGCACTGTTTCCACTTTGTTTGACATGACCTTTGCCGGCGTTCGTTCTTTATATCATCTAAACCAGCACGACGCAAGGATTAATTACAAATTAATTAAAAATATTAAATATAATATAAAATTATTTAAAAAGAAGAAAATTAACGATACAAAAGTTTTCAGTAAATGAACGATGATTGAAACTGTAAACACACACATACATAACAAATGACATTATCAAAGCAAGCGTTACTACAACTTTGCCGTGAAATCTGGAGAAATTGCTCAATGCCGTCTGAATGGAACTATAACATGACAGTCCCGTTATACAAAGGCAAAGGTGATCCATTGAACTGCTCATCATATCGTCTGTTAGAACACTCCCTGAAAATTGTTGAGAAAATCATTGAGAGAAAATTAACGTCGTGCATCACAATTGGAAATTATCAACAATTGATGCAACTCATATCTTTTGGCAACTGCAAGAGAAGTACCTCGCAAAGCATCAAAAACTGTCACATGTAATGGAAATTGTTCCATTACATGATCACGTGGAATAAGTACTAGCACAAAGCACGTGTGCTTACCTAGGAGAGAGCGCCGTATGGTCACGTTGGTCGATTACTAGACCAAAGTACAAGCGCTTACCTAGGAGAGAGCACCGTGCATGCCTATAAATAGCCTACGCAAATAAGTTAACTCTCTTTCTTTTCTGCGGCTCTTGTGCCGGAGTCGACATTAGTAAAGTTGGTTATTGTATCGTTGCATTTTCGTTAATTTGGTTTATTCGATTAATTATTTAGTTAGGTTTTAATAAAGGAGGATTAATAATATATCTGTCGTTGCGTTTAGTTAATATCGAACCCGTTACATTGGTACCAGAAGTGGGGTTGTTATTTAATTGGTGATTAATTAAATAACTAATAGGACGTTTTGACATTTAAAAAAAAAAAGATTAATTAAATACTTAGTTATAAGTTGTTACATTTGTTGTACGTTTGTTGTAAGTTGAGAATTCAGAATTATAATGGATCGATTGACGAAGATGAAACAACAAAAATTACAACGTCTGTCGAACGAACAAATAACAAGGAAGCTACTGAAGAGATCAATCAACGAAGCCAGTGTACGATTGATGAGCCGATCACAGCTGTTAGAAACGTGGGCAACAATTTTGGCGGACAGCGCTGATTCTCCATGCAGTGTTGCGGCGGAGGGCGCTGTGTCGAAAGATGCTGAAGGTGGGTTGACCTTATACGAAAGGAAACAGTTAGAAATGGAGTATAGGCTTCGAGAAGCGGAGATTGGTAGACAAAGAGAAAAAGATGAGAGGGAATATAAGCTCAAAGAAGCAGAGATGGCCAGACAGCGTGAAAGAGATGAAGCAGAGATGGCCAGACAGCGTGAAAGAGATGAAGCAGAGATGGCCAGACAGCGTGAAAAAGATGAAGCCGAATTCAGGCTTAAGAGTCAAGAATTAGAAATTCGACGACTAGAGGTAGAAGGTATGAATAATCGAAGAGTGGCCAATGATGCTAGTGAGGATAATAACACGATAAAACTAATGCAACAGACTCGATTTTTCGCGGAGTCGTTAAAACATCTGATAGGAACTTGTCCGTTAGAGCCAAGAGATATTCCTGCATTCTTTGAACACGTAGAGAAAATTTTTCGAAACTATCACGTAGACGGAGAAATTAAAGCCAATTTGTTGATAATGAGTTTGAACGAAAAGGCCAAAACGTGGTTGCATACTATTTCCGCCGACGGTCTGAAGGATTATAGCGAAATTAAAAGACTCATTCTGCAGGAGTTCAGGTTAAACCCGACAAAATTGAGAGATGAATTCTTCGCCCTGAGAAGACAGAAAAGCGAATCGTACACGAGTTTCGGGGCGAAATTATACGGCACGCTGAACCACTATTTTCAAAACCGTAACATTACGGGATTAGAAGATGCAATGAAATTGATATGTGCAGATAGAATGAAAGAGTTGCTATCAAGACGTACTCTGGAATTTATTTTGTCACAAGAGCAAGCAGCTTCCTGGATGAGTCCTGACGTGTTGGCACAAACGATCGACAAATATGAAACTGCCATGAACATGAAAGTTTCGAGCGACAATACATGTATACCGGAGAGTATCAATCAGATACAATCATTTCGAGAAAATGAGCACCAGATGTATAGAAGTAGCAACAACAAATCAGCTTCACCCAAACAAACCTGTTTTTCTTGCGGGAAGATTGGTCATATTGCAAAGCACTGTACATGGAAAAATAGAAATACACCTACGGCCACTAGAAACGTCATGCGCTGTGAAACGAACAAAGAAACACAAAGACCACAACAAAAACGTCAACAGCAGAGGCAGTCAAAAAAGCAACCGCAACAACATCAGGAACAAACTAATGATGAAATAACAAATTATAAAAGTATTGACAACATCAGCTCCTCAAAATATGATCATAAATCTTCGGGTGAGACTCTACAACCCAGATCGTCCAATGCCGAGAATTTTTCGGAGAGCCTCAAAACTTCTGCGAAGCCGTCGACATCAAGACATGTTCCAGTAGAATTTCCGTCAACATACGCGTCCTTAGCATCGTCGACAACCAATGAAAGAAGTCACACAGTTTCAAAAAGCTTGTCAGTGGCGTGTGTAACGTTGGAACACCCATCCCATGAGCTACTGAAGGACAACAACTTCACCTGGCACAAGTACAATTCTTACCGAGCCAAATGCCTCAAAGATCGTCGGAAGGTTGGGATCGGGCAGTCTACAGAAATGAACACTCTTTTCAGGTTTTGGTCATTTTTTCTTCGTCACCACTTTCACCTGAAGATGCCATTGAAGATGCCAATAAAGGGTTCAGGTATGGCTTGGAATGTCTGTTTTGGTTCTATAGTTATGGTTTGGAGAAAAGATATCGACCTGACTTGCTTGAGCACTTCCAAGAGGAAACCATCAAAGATTATCAAAATGGCCAGTTATATGGCCTGGAAAAGTTCTGGGCTTTCCTCAAATATTCAAGGAAACATGTGCTGGTCGATGGCAGGTTGAGGGGATGGCTCAGCAAGTATCAGAGACTGGAGGATTTCAAAGTTGAGCCCCTTCTCGGTTCGGGGCCAAGCTTCCATCTCAACAGTCAAATGCAACCTCATTTTTACTCGAACAGGCCCCCAATGAATTATATGACCAGAGTCAGACAGGACTCAGAAAGATCAGATCCATCAAGGAATAGAAGTGGTGGCCAACATCACCAGCAACATCAGATGCGAAGCTGTGCCAATGCCAGACTATACAATGCCCGAGTTAAAGAGGCACAAAGATTACTTCAGTTTGGGCTATTCTAAAATTCCGATCATGGATTTGCTTATCCAAAATCAAGAGTATAATACACAATTCTATTATCGTCCAGGTGCACGTAAGGTTGCCAAATTTTCCTCCAGGATATAAAAGTCAAGAAAAATTTATCGCATTTTTGGACATTGATTTTGGTTTTGTTTAGTTTTTATTTTTGTATGTGTGATGAATGTTACATTCATCCTCCTAGGCGTTGGAGGTATGTAATGGAAATTGTTCCATTACATGATCACGTGGAATAAGTACTAGCACAAAGCACGTGTGCTTACCTAGGAGAGAGCGCCGTATGGTCACGTGGGTCGATTACTAGACCAAAGTACAAGCGCTTACCTAGGAGAGAGCACCGTGCATGCCTATAAATAGCCTACGCAAATAAGTTAACTCTCTTTCTTTTCTGCGGCTCTTGTGCCGGAGTCGACATTAGTAAAGTTGGTTATTGTATCGTTGCATTTTCGTTAATTTGGTTTATTCGATTAATTATTTAGTTAGGTTTTAATAAAGGAGGATTAATAATATATCTGTCGTTGCGTTTAGTTAATATCGAACCCGTTACAGTCACACATTTTTGTAGTCCTTGAAAAAGCATTTGATCGAGTTCCCCGTGAAGCAATCAGGTGGAGAACTCATTCCAGAATATCTTGTTCTACTTGTGATGGAAATGTATATGAATACTAAGACTCTTGTCAGCACAACGGTTGGAAACACAGATGCATTTGACATCGGCGTTGGAGTTCACCAAGGCTCGATTCTCAGTCCACTGTTATTTATAACTGTGATGGAAGAAATCACAAAACCGATACACACTGGTGACATTTGGAACTCCACAACCCGCAATTCACTAACAACCAATTCGCAAATCACCATCGCAAATCACCAACAAGCCACCGAACCACTTGCAAGTCTATGATGCAAACATTAGAGCACTAATTTATTCACAAAGACCACTACCACTTGCGCACTTAAAGCAAACGTTCCAAGTAGTAGTTTTCATTGTGATTTCGGAATATATGGTCTTATAAACAATTTTATTACTTATTATTGTTTTAAGTTTTTCTATTAAATACAATAAAAACAGGTAGAAAAAGTCTGTGTGTGTGTGTACGTGCGTGCATATTACTTTGGTCTTTTCTTTATTTATTTATCTGTGTTGATAGTTACTTTAACTATTATTTTACACAGATATAATCACGCAATGTTGATGTTTTCTGTTGCATTCCTTTTGACATCTTGGTTCTTCACATCATATCTCTCACTTGGGGCTGTTGGATTCTGCTTATCGAATTGCTGCAACATGATTTTTAGAATAATCTATAGGTTATGACTGTTTTTAAATAATCATTAATGTTATTTAGATGTAGGTTGACATTTTTCTAATTTCTTGTCATTCAACTTTAATATAAGTTGTAATATTTGCTAAATAATCATGATTTCTATTATTTTATGGAAAACCATTTTGGAAACCTTCTAGTGTAACATCATCAATGATTTTTATAGCACATGTTTACGACATTAACCCAATAACCTAATTTTTTGGTCTCAATTTTTTTTGCCGCTCTTTTTGTAAAAAGATTTCTTATGATTTTTTTTTGACCAATTTTCTTCAGCTTATTACTGACTACAATTACCAACAGTATCAAACGCTTTCAATTTGATTTTGTTTATCTTCTTTTGGGTTATAGGAGCATTCGCCTGATAGATTTCGCCCGAAAATTTTTCCTCCCGATTCATTTTTACACAACTTTTGTACATTTTTACACAACTTATTGGAATTTGGTTATTTGGTTATCGGCCTCTAGTCCCCAGCAGGCCTTAAGTGGTCAAGGGGTGCCAAGAATCTTTGGGAAGTATGCAATAGCGGAGGGATGTTGCAAAAAAATTCAGAATGGCCCTTCTTTGGTACTTAGACTTGGAACGCTCAATGTTGGATCACTGAATGGCCGCAGCATGGAAATCGTAGAAATGCTTGAGCGTAGAAGGATTGACATCTGTTGCCTTTAGGAAACCTAATGGAAATCGAATGGTGTCTGCCATTTCAACTCAGACAAAGAAAAATATAAACTATTCTGGAATGGTCAAAAGACGGCCAAAAATGGTGTTGGAATTTTTGTCAGAGAACCGCTAGCTCAAAAAGTACTGGATATTAAAAGGATTAATTCACGTCTCATGTGGATCAAGCTTCGCATAGAAAAGCATCAATGATTATTTTTTCAGACAGGCGAATCAGAAGAGGTGAAAAATGACTTCTGGGCTGCATTCTCTAACACCATCCTAACAATACCAAAATCTGAAACAATCCTGATTGGAGGCGATCTCAATGGCCACGTTGGAAATTAAACAGGTGGTTTTGACTACGTACATGGCGGTTTTGGCTATGGAGAACGGAATAAAGATGGCAACCGCATCCTTGAGTTTGCTGAAGGTCATGGGTTTTGTTTGCTGAACACATATTTAGAAAAAGGTTGGAACATCTCATAACATACAAAAATGGACCATCAGCCACGCAAATTCAAGCAACAACACCGAAGGCTATTCAAAAATGTTAAAGTTATTCCTGGCGAATCATGTGTCGCCCAACATAGACTCGTTGTCAAACTGTCAAAACATAAGTCTAAACAAATGCCTCGGAGAATCAAAACGTGGAAGCTGAAAAGTTCATCGAAAAAAATTTCAACAGATTGTCGCCATACAGTTAGACCACCAATCGCAAGCCAGTACAGATTGGAGTACTTACAAAACCGTTTTGATAAACGCTGCAATACAGTTTGTGGGAAAACTGGTACAAAACTTCAGCATGAACGGGCACTTGGTGGTGGAATGATAGTGTACAAAATGCAATAGCTGAAAAGAAAGTTGCATACAAGCAATGGCCAAAATAAAAGTCTGTTGATGACCGTGAGAAGAACAACTACGCAAGACGTCAAGTCGCACTGGCTCGGACAGATCAATGCAGAGAGTGGCTCACTAAAAGCAAAAGTGAACAAATGAAATCTCTGTATCGTATAGCAAAACAAGCAAAGAGTACGAAAAAAGACATAGTTGGTGCCTCATGTATCAAAAACGACAAAAATGAGATCGTTCTTGAGCAAGATGAGATCAAGCTACAGTGGAGAGAATACTTCAACCGTCTGTTAAACGAAACAAATCCCATCAATGTTAACTTTGACGCTCCACCCATCGAAGGTCCGATTCCAGACATCACTGCAGGTATCCAAACGTTACTACAACTTTGCCGTGAAATCTGGAGAAATTGCTCAATGCCGACTGAATGGAACTATAGCGTGATGGCTCAATGGTTAAAGGCGCCTGGTCTTACTATTGCTATGACTGGGTTCGAATACAAAGAGATCCCACCTATCATACGCAATGTTTAGGATGCGTGGTTTGCACGTGTATTCATATACGCTCGTTGAAACCGTTGAATCATGAAGCAAACGCAAAAGAGAGAGAGAAACCTTTAACCTTTTATAGCATGACAGTCCCGCTATACATAGGCAAAGGTGACCCATTAAACTATTCATCATATCGGGGATATACGTCTGTTAGAACATTCCCTGAAAATTGTCGAGAAAATCATTGAGAGAAGATTAACGTCCTGCATCACAATCGGAAATTATCAATTTGATTTGGCGGGGAAATCAACAATTGATGCAATTCACATCCTTCGGCAACTGCAAGAGAAGTACCTCGCAAAGCATCAACAGCTATCACACATTTTTGTAGACCTTGAAAAAGCATTTGATCGTGTTCCCCGTGAGGCAATCAGGTGGAGTCTACGTCGACAACTTATTCCAGAATATCTTGTTCGACTTGAGATGGAAATGTATACAAATACTAAGACTCTTGTCAGCACAACAGTTGGAAACACATATGCATTTGACATCGGCGTTGGAGTTCACCAAAGCTCGATTGTCAGTCCACTGTTATTTATAACTGTGATTGAAGAAATCACAAAACCGATACGCACTGGTGACATTTGGAATCTAATATATGCTGATGATATCGTTTAAACAGCCACTCTGTGCAGAATGCATCACAGATGTTTGAAGATTGGAACACCAGACTCGCCGATCATGAATTTCAAAGTCAACATCAGCAAAACCAAAGCAATGAACCCATCCAATCCACAGCTACTGGAAGATGGCCCTGTTTAGTTTGTAAAGCTGGTGTAGGTAACAATTCAATCAAGTGTCAGCAATGTAACCAGTGGTGTCACAAACGTTGTTCAAAAATAATTGGTACTTTATCTAAAGTGTCCAATTTTGTTTGTCCTGCTTGCATCAATCCACAACAACAAATTCGAAATAGAATTGTTTTTCAAGCCATTAAAATAGAGAAAGTCACATCGTTTCATTATCTAGGGGATTGTACTGGAACAGCTGAAGCTGCCGTTCAGCCTGGAATAAATGGCATCTTCTTGCCTCCTTGTTGATGCTGCATGACATCCCACTACCACTAGGATCAAGACTTTATAAATCTGTGATACGTCCGGTGTTGTTATATGGTGCCAATGACAACCAAACTGGAACATGGCCAATGACAACCAAACTGGAACAACAACTTCAACGAACCGACATGAAAATGCTCCGATGGATGTAACGAATTAGTCTGAAGGACCACGTCAAATCCATCGAAATCCTGCGTCGTGCTGGTTTAGAAAAAGACGAATGCCGGCAACACCGTCTGCGATGGTTTGGTCATGTCATTGTATTCAACCATACATTTTTACAAACTCACTTAAATTATCACAAAACACATCTACAATCTACAAAGATATAACCATTAAAATTTATTAGCAAATTTAGGCGTGTTTTAAATAACTACTTTCATTAGGGTCACCTGTTATATTTATTATTTTTCCTATCAATTCTTTAATGAATTCAATGCAAATAGGTTGAAATATTTTGCCTTTATTATTTATTGCGGCGTATTAAAAGTTAAATAAATTATAACGGTCGGCCATGGTGTACGGAAAAGTAACGTCCCAATCCAGAGATCGTCCTTGCGGTGATAGTACAACCATCCGGCCTAATAGCTCCTTCTTCTATCAAGCCCATGGGTTCTTTTATAACCGGAATACAGGACTTTTGGAAGCATCGAACTAGTTATTCATTGACAGCTGTATGTCTGGCCTGCTTTTCTGGGCCTAGGCGGCAAGAAAGGCTGTGTTACCCGAGTTGATCAACTTTTGCCCCATATGCGCGCTTGTATTCAGTAACGATTTGAGCTCCGAGTATCAAGACCCGCGCGGACTCAGGAATCGTCTAGTCTCGTGCCGCAGGTGTTTAGCAGCGCCCTCAACTAGGCACAGCCCAGCTTGTTTTTAACAGCCATAATTCTGGCCTTGTCGTAAGCCATTCAGTTGTAAAAGTTTGTCAATTGATTTTTCAAGACAATCTCGGTATCTCGGTTTGCAGAATGCCACATATCATACATTATGGTTGTCGACATAAATTTTATCCTTTGTCAACATTTTATCCTGGAGGATTACCGTGGCGCCAGCAGAAGCCAAAAACGTAGAAGGTGCCAGCTCGGCCACGGAACCCAAACCCAGGCCTCCAACAAATATTGGCAGAGTCCCCTGCAGCCAATTTTTTTGATCCAGTGATACGTTGAAAATAGACTGAAACTAATCATGAAGATGATCGTCAAAACATTTGAAAATCGAAACATCAACCATAAGGGATGTCCACAAAATATAAATCAGACGAGACAAAAATATGTATTTACACAGACAATAAATGTAAAAATGTGTAATTAATCAATTTATCAACATTATATAAATTAGCTATATAATGACAAATATATATATATATAATTTTTATCATTTTGAATATTATATTTTGATATATTAACTTTTATAATATATCATAAATATATTAACAACAAAATGACTTTATTCTAAATCAGTTGTTTTGTTACAGTAAGCCCATCCAAGTTACTGTACTAATTACCTCGATTAACACACATCAAAAGCTGGAACTAATAAATGACAGATAAAACTTAAAAACTTCGCATTGTGTATGTTTGTGTGTGTGTGCATGGGTGTGTGGTTGTAAATGAACATAAATCGCTAACAAAATCAACCTGAAAATGTTATTACAGAAAACATTCCGTAAAACTCCCTTAACAAAAATCTTCAATAAATTTTATTTATCAATCAAAAAAATTTTAATTATCGGGCGAACGTGCCATCGGGCGAATATTCCAATAAAAAATTAATTTTTCTATTCGAGCGAAAATGTAATTGGGCGAATCTTCCTTCGTTTGAGCGAAAAATGTATCTGGCAAAAGCTCTGTTCACTCCTATTTGTATAAAAATTTCGCATGCGTAGTGCAAAGTTGAAAGCGTAGAGGTTTTTATTGTTCACAACTTGGTTTTAATAATGCAAACGTTTTTCATGCACTATTATTTTGTTTATTTCCAATTTTATTCCAATTGTGCTAGTTATGAAACCAGGTAAGTTAACAGCTGGTCGAACTGTTCTGAAATTTCTGTTTAAAATTTAGTCTATTTTTTCAAAATTTTTGCAGCTTTCATTTTTCATTTTAGTCAGTTTCTGGTTGAATTATTGTGGTAGTAGATTGAATTTTTGACTAAAAGCTAGTTTTTGAATTTTTGATTATAAGCGTTGGTTGTTGGTCCATGGTTTATTGATGACGAAATAGCATTAGATCATTCTGATCATTAGGTATACAAATTATTTTTTGAAGTAAAAGTATTGAAATGATGGCAACATTAATTTTCTAAATTACTTCAAAAGGAATAAATTAAATGTCATAAATCATCGTTAGCTTACAACAAGCAAATCGTTATTTTGCAAGAACTGGTTACAATCCTATAAAAGGTTTGTTGCTTACTGGACCCGTCATTGGATCGTACTTATTTAGTTTCATCGTTTGCACCATGTCAGAGGTTAGTTTCATATTTTAAGCACATATTGTTGTGCTCAGAGACAATTCTTCATATTTCTAGCTTATTTTTTAAAAGTATCTGAAGTATTAACCAACGTCATTAGGAGGATTTTCATTTTAATGTATGCTTTTTTGAGCATTCTCCAACGCTGTACGATCTCAAACTTTATTGTTCAATGAAGGGCTCACGCACTTTTTGCAAAATTTGCTGCATACATTGTAGGAATATTAAATTTTTTAATTTAATTATTTAAATTAATTAATTTATTTATTAAATTAAATTTATTAAGTGCGCTGTTTCTGGCAACACTGTTTTTTCGTTATTGTTTGTTAATAATTTTAATATTTGTTCAGTTATTTATTTATTTGTTTAATTCATTTATTTTTTATATGATTAACCTAATTAAATTTGTTAATTATGTATTGTCATCGGAATTGAGAATACATACAAAATTTCACCTTAGTCACTGAAAAATCGGTTACAAGATTTATTTACTCATTTATTTATTTATTTAAAAAGGCATGGGACGTTAATATAATAATAAAAACTAGGGTATTTGTAGAACTAATGCGTTATAAAAATAATCAAATTTTTATTCGATGGTATTAAACATATAAAATGATTTTTAAATTGGTTTAACGATAATTTGAAAAATTTGTTGTGAAATTAAAATGAAATGGTGTGAGCTTTAATTCAAAAAATGAATGAAGAAGACTACATATTTAGAATTGCCGTATTGGCCAGGACCGACATGGAACATTTGATTTATTTCTTGTGTTCTTGAGTACCTGGGAACAAAGCAAAAGTTTATATGTGAGATATATTGATAACACAAATTTGGTTTATTTGAAATAAAGTATACCGATTGTCACAATCCTTTAATTACAAGTTGTTTACATTTTTACATTTTTTTACAGTAATAATAATTTTTAAATTGAGCCTCTGATCTGTAATGGTTATGCATTTAAATTAAGTCTTTGATCTGATTCTGAATCCAGTTTAAGAGATATGTTTAGATTTTAGACATGCTATAAATTTTTTTTTCAATTTTTAATAACTTTTTTATTTTTTCACATAAAACAACAATACTATGATTTTATACTTTAATTCTTTAATGATTTCATGTAAAGTAATTTTTTTCTTTACAGGCGTTCTTCTGCCATCGAACATCTCACCAGCTATTGTGGCAACTGGTTCACGTGGTGAATGTTGCTATTTGCCTCTTATGGATATTGTTTATAGTTTGTTTAAAAGAGAAATCTTTAGTAGGTTTTGTTAAAAAGAATTATTTGTTTTTCGACAAATCCAAAGCGTTATAATGACAACAATAACTTGTACTATTTTGTTAAATAACAGGTTTATGTAAATTTAATAATTTATATGGTTGTCTGTGGTGAATAATATGATAAGAAAAATTTAATTTATTTAATTATGGGATTATATTGCTTAATTATTTTTATTGACTTTTGATTGATCTGAGAGTGTGATTTTATGTAAATGGCTTCGGGTGTGACTTTTATTAAAGTTTTTCAGTAAAGTTTAACCGACTTTGAATGGTGTTATATCGATTATCACAGGTGAATTGTTATTCGTCGTTGAGTTTTTAATTTTAGCTCGTTATAATGAATCGAATTTGTGTTTTTATGTCGTTACCTTTTCTGTTTTCCATTTTTATTTCACAAAACATTTACTATTTTATAAAACCAACTTTCGTTTTCCGTAGCTAACTAACTCATCTAACTGTTCGAAACTATTTATAACTAATCTATCACACGATGCGTGATATAAAACATTATCACTAGCGTACCGAGAGAGACTGATTAAAATGGGCCTCCAAAAAACCGATGTACACAAATTTTAAAATAAATAATTTCATTTATTCGTAATTAGTTCATTAATGCATCAGCGAACAGATATAATTTTGTGCTTTCATTCTTTCTATTTATATATTTTTTTATACATGATATGTAGAAATATAATATACTTGGTTGCTAGAAATGTTTTTTTTAAATCCAAACCGATTGAATTCATTTTTATGTTGGAAGATATCGTATAGCAAAAAATAATTGAAGAAGCAAAAAACACCTGACATCTCACTAAGACCAATTAAGCCATATTATCATATAATTATATCAAAAACAATTATGTAGAGGTCAGAAAATATTTTTTTTTTCATTTTTTGAAAGAAAGATATTGATATCGCACAGAAACTTATAGACATTGTTGTTGAAGAGGGTTTTGATATTAATCTATGTCGAAGCCAAGATTATAACCATGCTAATGTCGGGTGTTCGTTCTGGAGTACAAGCCAGGATCCATCAGATTAATCAGAAGATTTTATTTGTACTTGTTCTAATAATTCATTTAACTCATGCATTTGGAACCAAGAACCAATTCAATATTCCAAAAAACGTTTGTTTTTGGAATGAAAGCATTTAAAACTTTTTTTTTATCAACTCATAACTTTTTTATCAACTTAAAAGAAAGATCTAGCAGCCTCAAGAGAATAGTATGATCAACAGTATCAAAAGCAGAGGAACAGTTAAGAGCAAGAAGAATAAGATTACAATTATCACTAGGGAGAAAGATATCATTAGATTGACATACATAATGTCATTGTTCTGTTGTTGCAGGCAGCATTTATCCGAGCCCGTCCCAACAAATGTTAGATGAATTCGAGGGCGAAATTCGCATGGGATTTCAGACCATATTCATTGTGTTCTTTGACGATAAAGAATAAAATCTGTCGGTCAATATGGGTGGTCTGGGTTTGGGTGTCGTAGCCAATCTGGCGCCATCAGCATTTTTGTCATCGCCATCCAGGAAAAGATCTTACCAATAGACGTAGTATATCGGGATGACTTTAGACGTGAAACATTTCATTTCAAACATTTCAAAGCTGGTGCACGGTTTACGGTGATATAATGAAAATAAGCGTTTGGAATGAACCATTTTTGAATACTAAAGGCATTAAATGACTCACCTTCAGATAAAGCCAGATTGGTTGCTGTCAGAAGTGAATTGGGTTCTGCTCGGCTAAGGGCTATTTCCAGTACGGCGTGTGGTTCAATGCTTCCATTAGAGTAAGTTTATGCTTGGGACACATGGATTACCGATAGTGTCAAGTTACAGATGTTTGTGTGGGGCTGATGTTTCTCAGCTGGGCCACCATGCTCTTGTTTAGGAAGACAAGCATGAATGATTACATATGTATATTGTTCCAGAAAGCAGTTATACCTGCCCTTAAAAACAGCAGGTTTACTGTCTGAAAGTAATCAATGGCCAGACGGTTACACCCTAGCCCTTAGCCAAGCAGAACCCGATTCACTTCTGACAGCTTCAATTTGGCTTTATCTGAAGGTGAGTCATTTATTTATATATATTTATAGTGTCATAATCGGTGCTTTATAAGTTTCCAAATAATAATACATACATATATATATATATATATATATATATATATATAAGCATGAATATGAATACTAAAGGCATTAAATGACTCACTATATATATATATATTTATATATATGGATGTAAAGTTCAATGATGGATTCATGAAAATTCTATGCATGGCCAGTACACAAAACTATATAATCCATATTGAATTAATTTTTCAGATTATGTGACATGAATGTGGGTTATCAGTCGAATGTAGTTAAAGAAATTATCGGTTAAATGATTTCGGCATATTTTGTAGATTTGTTTGTTGAAAAATTAATCGATAATTTATTTTATCCTCGTTGTTTCCTAATCCTTCATTATAACCTAGATACAAAACATTATTTTTCGCGAATAGACATTTTTTCCGACGAAGTTTGAGTTTTGCATCTCTAAAACATCGGAATATTTCATTTAAATTTCGACATGATCTGTGATCCCATTTGAAAAGCAAATTATATCGTATATTATATACACATTAGGCACGTTATATCTGTTAACTGTTTTAGTACTGATTGTGTTAAAAGCTGAAAAAAACGGTGAATTTGCTAAACCTTACGGCAATTTTGTAAATTTATAGTAAATCTGATCGTAAATCTAAAACAGAAAAAATGTTTGTTTTTGCGCTAGAAAGGCTTTCTACTACGTTATCGAATCTGGGTAGCGGATAAAATGATTGTTTAGTGACTTTAAAAATCGTTTGGTTCCATCTTTTTTTTGTATGAGTAATACGCTAGCACGCCAAGACGACACTGATCCTAGTTTTAAAAATGCATTACATTGCTTTGAAATTTTTTTTTGTTTTCAGCATTTGCTTGGTAAACTCGTTAGGTGCGCTATCGTCTGTATCAATCGAATGATATATCGTACCTGACCATTTTAAATCTAATTATGATTTCTCAAAAACATCTACATTGTCAGCGATGCATTGTTTTAATAGATTAGTTCCTTCTGTTGAATACAAATTTGAATCTTCAGTTTTAATTTCAAGTTCCTTTAAAAAATTTTAAAAGTTTTTGCAACTCGTTAAAATTGCTATTTTTATTATGTGAAGTTGTTGAGTTCGGATGGTTATAATTATTTATAGTCATTAAACGTTTTTTTTGAATCACCTGATGGTTAATTTTCAAAAAAAATTTCACTATAATTTTTTTTTCACTTTTCACTTAATTCTGCCGAAGTTGATTTTGTACCACTCGCATTACTCTGACAATAATTTCATCGATGATTGCTATTTGCGCGTATGGTTGAATATGTATGCGTTTGTTTGAAATGATTATTAAGCGACAAATAACGGTATTGTTTAATGAATGTGATACTGTGCGTGCTATTAAATACGCGCGTGCCATAAATTTATTCATAGCTTCTATTATGTATGTTTTATTATTATTAAGTTAGTGCGTTCAATATTGTTTCTGTATGTGGTTGAACTGAATTTTATTTGAACTGATACGATAATTATTTTTATGAGATTAACAATCATTAATATTAGAGATAAGATAATCATGAAAAATAAAATTGAATTATTTTTAATATTTATTTTTGCTTTATGATCGTTTAAAAAATCTATTCCTAAATAACGTTTTTACAAACATAAAATGTGACATGCAATTTTAAATGTTCAATTTCAATGTACCTAACACTTAGCATCAGCATCATGTATATCTAAAATATTATTGTTATGTAATTGTTTTATTAAATTTAATTTCGTTGCAACTTTTTTGATATAGCATGAAATTTTAGCGCCAGTTTCAATAAGTGCATGAAAATGGTGATCGCGTATGCAAATGTGAATTTTATTAGCGGTATTTCTTTGAAATGTCTGTTTTTTATGACGTGTATGACATTTTGATACGTAATGTTGTTGCTGCGGGCAAGTGCGAATAGTGCGTGACCGTCATGTTGTCTTCGAACGACAAATGTTCGCGAAATGGTTATACTTGGAACACGTAACATGAAAAGGCTGGACAGGGACACTAATTTTTAGCGTTTACCATAGTTGTTACATTTGTTGTTAATTGCTCTATGTTGGTTACCTTCATTAAATCTAACTAGTTAAGACGAGTACTCATTTTATAATTTTAGAAATATTATCGCTTCTTGAATTATGTGCTTGTGTGCATGTTTTCACTGTCACTTAATTTGTTTTCTATCTTATTTTGAACTGTATCAAGTAATGTTGTAATTTTTGCTAGCAATGAAGTCTCTAAATCATTATTGCTGTTCGAATTGTTAGCTTCTACTGTTTTCGTGACTCTCAACAACTCCGGTTGCATATATGTCACTCCTGTTTCAATGTCATTCAATGTCATCTCTCAAGCCTTGTCGTTTTGATCTAAATGAAAAGAATTAGAAATAAAAACAAGCAAGTTGCTGAAAAAAAGATTCGAGTAGTAGTTTAACTGCATATCAATAGTTTCAATGACTTCGTCACTGCTAACTTCTCCAATATTTTAAAAATCTTCATCGTCGTCGTTGTCATCATTTCCTTATTTAGATGCTGCTTTTTTCATTGGCTGTTCGTAATTCGACTATCCGTTGATCAAGTTTTCTAAGAATTTCATCCATAGAATTCGGAAAATCAAACTTTTATTTTCATTTATCAAAGCATCCCTTATGCGGTCGATAAAAACTGCCTTCGTTCCTTTCGAGTCGAGGTTTCGTTGTCGTAGTTCTTTTCTCAGAATAGTTGTATTGAGTTCATCTAGTGCCGTCATTTTTTATTGAAGGAAGTTTCAATCCTACTTCTGACACCAATGTTATAAAGTTCAACGACACCAGTGTTGTAACTTCAAAGATCCTTTTTTCCGACACCAGTGTTGAAGCTTGTTGTATTGTTAAGTTGACATTAATTCCTCAGGCTTAAGATTTCTGATGGATGAACACAACTGCTTCAAACACAAACTTTTTTAAACGTTTATTCGAAGCCAACAGTGATTCAAGAAATACCCACAATCACCAATAATTCAGAACGTAACTCGTAACTACATAAATCACCACAACCTCGCTTCAAATTCAAACTTCGCTATTCACTCGCTTATAGTTTTGCAATCGGTGACAAATATGGCAAAGCTAACAAAGATAACAAATAGTCAAGATAACTATAGTATAGCGCAACTTGACCATCTTGGCGGTTATAAAATATTGACAAATGTTAAAAACAAATCTTTAAACGACGGGAAAAGTATTTTACTAACAACTACCGAAATCAAATTATTTATATGTATGCCAAATTAATTAATTTATTTATTTACAAATATGTGTGGGAAGTCAATGAATGATGACTCTGCCAACCGAAATGCCGCGTTGAAAATTGATGCCTGGGTGTCGTAGAATGCATCGTAATGATTCCACAATGTAGATTTTTTTCTTTTTTGTATTATCGTTGTCGTTATTGTTACCAAAAATCTGGTTGTTTTTGATGCTGTCATCGTTGCTATTGATTTTATAAATGTTGCTTTTTTTATGGTCTGGTTTTTTTATTTGTTTTAGGCTGGTTGCTGTGATTACATTTATTCACAACTTCGACATTTGGTTTTTTCAATTTCTGTAGTAAATTTCACAGATTTGTAGAATAGTGATGAAAAAATTCTTTCAAATTAGTCACAAAATTAAATTTAAAATTGAAAAAAGTTATACGCATAAAAAATTAAACAATTACGTAAGAACTTTTTTATGACTTATGATTAGATTATGTTGTAAATATAAATTTGTTTTTAACCTTGTTAGTCTCTATTTCAGACACCAGCATTTCGTCCCAAGCCTTACCAAAGTTCATCCCCCCAATCATTTGGGTAATCATCAAATATTATTATGTTATGCTCGCTTGAATGGCCAGCTAAATTCATTATGTCAGCTCTGTAAAAAATATTATTTAACATCAGCTAAAATTTTTTAACCAGTTTTTTTGTATAATAGTACATTCTTCTTATAAAATTAATTCATAAGATAAAAATAGGAAAGATAATGTTTTTTTCTTCTTTGCAAAGTGCTTTGCAGATTTTTATAAATTTGAGCTTTAAAAAATAATATTTTGGCATTAATTAAGTTGGAGAAATGTAATGGTAAAGTTAAGTTCTGCGTTATAACACTGAACCAAATTTCACAGTTTTTTTTCATAAATTGTCGTATTTGTAACCAACTTTTATAAATTATATAATAAAAGTGAACTTTTGACGGTTTCCATATACCAAATATTTTGAGCTGTTTTGTCTAAAATTAACTAGCCTCGCTGTAGGGTAGGCGTGCCCTCCATCGACAAATATCAAGTCACAGAGTGGAAGAGTGTTGTTTGATATTGCTTTCAGTATTTCAACAGAAGAGTCACCAAATCTGTCAAAATTTTTTAACTTTTTTATCTATTTAAATATTGCTATTAT